TTCAGACTAGGACATTATTTGGTCTTTTCTTCCTCCGGGAAAGCGAACTTTGTGTTTTTGTTTTCTTGGTAGTTTTGACTATTCCTTAATACGGTAGCAATTGTAGGGAAGGGGAAGAAATGGGTTTAATCTCTCTCATTGTGAGCCGTGATTCCGGGTTGCACGGCATATTTTCTTTACCAACTCCGGGTATACTTTTGGACAGCTATTTAGTTTTGTTTCTTTTTTTTATTCATTTTGTCATAGATTTGATGGATGTATCTGATATGATGTGGATTATGTTGATTCATTCTAATATTTTTATTCCAATTTGTTCCAATTTGTTCTAATTTGTTCCACGGAGATGGAGTAGAGGTTTATTCCAAATCATTTTTATGAGACTTCGTATACAATCGCGTTCTCTCATTGTTCCCCCTTAAAGACATATTGAAAGAGTCTCATAGCTCGACGTTGATCTAGACTTCAATTATAACTCTCTTATATTTAATGGAAACAAACCTTTTTCGGTAGCGGTAAAAAGATTGCATTTTACATCGATAGTAGTGCTACCTCTGAAAACGGTAAAACCTGAATTGAGCGAAGCGTGGTTTCTCTTGACCCGTTCGATCGATGTGGTTCTCGTTGATGGGACAGTTTCTAAAGTTTTATTTTCGAGCCAAAAAAAATAAGATCAAATAACGAAAAAACATTAAATGATAAGAAACAAGATAAATATCACGTGTATTACAAACTAGTCGACTAACAAACTAGTCTACAAAAACTTTTCTTCATGTCCATTTTAGGTCCATTCTACCAAATATTTTTCATTTTATTTTTTCAATAAAATTTTAACCCCACTTTAGTTTAAATTTCAATTTTTTATTTTTTTTTGGTTTTTCTCCTGTCCGTGTGCCTTCCCATTTTGGTTCTAATTTTTTATATTCGTTTCGTTTGATTGCTCTTTAACTGGTTTTATACGATGGATTCTTGGTATTTTTCTGGTTAAACAGATAAGAAAGATACAAGCTCAAGCTGGATTATGAACAAGAAGAAGATGAAGATTAAAAGAACAACAGAAGTTTTCTACTGTATTTTGTTTCCCAAAAAGTGTTCATTGCTGGCTGAATCATGGTTAGCCTAGTTATCTCTTAAGTATACCTTTGTTTCTATTCTTAGACTCTAGTCCAGTCCAGTCCAGTCCAGTCCAGTCCAATTACTGTTATTGTTCACTGATAGATTGATTATTGTTGATGTCAGTATCTGTAAACTTTAAGCTGTGTTTGTGTATTGTTTGAATGAAACAAGTTATCATTTTAGGCCATATGTGCTGTGTCAACAACACTTTGCAGTTGGAATTCTTTTTCTTTTTGTTGAGATATATCTTAAACAATGAATACTTTGAAGTCGCGTGATTTTATTCTATTAGGTTGCCTACAACAGTAAAAGTACAAACCAAGCGAACAATAACAATGTGGTGCATAATCACAGCGATCAAACAATACCAAGTTATAACCAATGTATGTATTTATTCTTGGTTGTACATATTATTACATTCTACTAAGCCGGTGATGTAGTTGTTAGATAATGATTGTGTCATCTCCCACAATCTCAGTATCAAAAAACTCCTGCATAAAAAAGTACTAATTGAAATTGTTTTAACATGGCCCGTAATTTTTAGAATTCATCACAAATTTCCCTTAAAGTGTGGGCCACCGCAAATTTACTAGAACCACACTAATGGACCGAGACTGCGAGACAGTTCAAGAAATTATTCAAAATGTTTCTCGAACATCTAAAACAAATGAAAAAGAAATTTAGTACAAAACAGAATAATAACCGTTTTTACATAATAACGACAACGATAACAACAACATTGATTTTGCGTTCTTTAGGCAAGGTTCCCCCTTCCTATTCTCACTCTCGATTTTTATTACTTGGGTTTTTGTTCTTATCCTCCTTCGGTTCGATGAACCGTCCAGGTTCCGACTACTTTCGCCAGAATTTCTTTAACCTCTATTTCCCAAACAAGGTTCCACAATTTTTCTTGTATTCCTTAACTCGACAAGAAACTACAGAGGAAGACTAAAAATTTAATCAAAAGACAAAATTTGATTATAATTCGAAAAGACAAATTATTGTTATTGTGTTATTTTTGAGGTTTTTCAATTTTTTTCACTGCAGTTCACCTATGGAAGTTGTCCTTCTCTAATAGCTTTTTCAATTTGAAGTTGTTCACTTCCAGGTACAGTCGAATCCTTCATCCCTCAGCCATTATTCTTGAGGTTCTGAAATAGGTATTTTACTTTTTCAAAATTGGCCTCTTATTTTTTTTTCTTTCCCCTGCTGTCTCTACCTTGTTCAATATGTTTTTTTTCATGCTGGTGTTTTTCTCATTATTCTATCCAGCACTTTGCATCTGTAATATCTTTTTCTTCCAAACTTTTTTCTTTTTATTTTTTATCGACCTCTGTTCCTTGGGGAATCGGCATTGCTACTGCTGTCACCACCACCATAAGCAACTTTTTTCAACATATCTTACGAATTTTGTAATTTCATGTATCTTGTTACTACATCTTCTTCTCTTGTAGTTGGTGGTTATATTTTTTTTTTTTTTGAATAATTTTTTAGTGATTATAAGACCACCACTACAACCATTGAAAATAGGAAAAAAAGGCTCAACAATTACATGTACAACTAATAATATAATCTAATTCATTTTATTATTGCAAGAATTTTCTTTGCAGCGTTTTTTTTTGTTCTTGTTCTTGTGCTGCTCCAATTTACTCTCATCAGAACTAAACTTTCTTCTCCCAAGCACTGCTATTATTACCAATCGATATTCTTTTCTTTTGTTTAATTATATTTTGTCTTATTTTATTTCAATTATTGATATTTTGATGTCTCGACCAACAAATCCAGCAGTCTTCCGAAATTTTATTTTAGAAGTTTATGTGAGATTTTGTTAAAATTACACCGCTAAAACTTTGATAGTTCGAAATTTTATTACTAACAACGTTAAACTTATCACTGCTGTTTTCCTGCAGTTTTGCCCTTTTTTAAACAATTCTCTTTCTAGCCCAGCAGTTTTCTAATGAATTTATTTATTTATTTAATTCTTTTTTTTTTATTTTTTTTTTTTTCGTTCTGGTTGAGGTCAATTTGGCTAGACTACTACGAGAAATATTTATCTCAATCTTATTCAACCCACCTCTTAATTTCCAATTTCCAATTTTCAATTTCATTTTTCAATTTTAGTTTTAGTTTGGTTCCTTGATAGGTATATTAGTTAATTTCCTAGAGTCTTACTGATAATTCTCAGTGATTATGTTTAACCATTTCTTGAATAATCGTATCCGTTAAAGTTCTCTGATAAATCTGCGCAATTGTTGAAATAGTTCCCATCTCTTTCCGTCTTAACTACTGTTTACTGTATCCGTTTCATTTCTTCGCCCATGTACTGTATTGATATATTTTCCTATTTCTTTCTTCTCTCTTTGTTTGCTTGTTTGCTTGTTTCTCTCTATCTTGTTTCTTTCTTTCCTTCCACTTTATCCTAGTTTCTTTTTTTTTTTGTTATTTCGTTATATAGGAAACGTCTTATTATACCATCGAGCATTAAATAAATAAAATTGTTAATTTAGTTTTTATTATACGTACTACTTTCTCACGCCGTTTGTTCAGATTATTCCCAAATCACATTCTTCCACTCTCTAACTCTCTCTTCACTTCCTTCGGAATCCCACGATTATTTTCATCATCATTATTATTACTATTATTATTTTACTGCTACTGCCACTCCTACCACTTGTTCATCAAGCCAAGTCTACATGTATGCACGTATGGATTTGTATTACACTTTTCCTGTTTGCTGTCAAGTTTAGACAGTGAGTTTCTCATGGTCTTTTTCACCACCTATAACCCACTTTTCTCCAAGAAATTACACTCTAACCCACTAGCTATATTTTTTTGTTTTTGTTTTATTACTCCATCCTGTCTCATTTCTCTTCTTGTATCTCCTATCGTATCGACTCTTTTTTCCAGAATACTACCACTCTTAAACCTCTGTCTATTCCCTCAGCTTTTATCGACATCGAGGTTTCGAAATTGTATATGTCTAAAAAAGAAATAGCCGTAATACCAAACATAATTGGACATTTTCCTTGTAGCAAGTAAGTTTAATAATAATAAACTATAATATTTTTAATGTTATTATTTATTATTAGTAGTGGCAGTAGCAGCATTACTATTAGTGTTATGGAAGTTAGTAATTATAAAATTTTCTGATGCTGCTAAGATTATTTGAACATTAAACTTGATTGATTTTTGAGGTTTCTACGTTAAATGTTTCTTTAAAACTTTTAATCTCTCCGTACATTCTCATACTGTAAGTATGTTTTGGCTCAAACGTTCCGTTCTTCAAATTTATTCCTTATTTCAGATATAGTCTTTGAAGTTACTGTATCTTGTATTAGTTTCTTGCTTAAACCTTAGAACGAAAAGCCACAGACACGCACAGATATATCCAACTTAGACATTATATATCTTGATGGAATTTTTGATCAATTGATTGTATAAATAGACGTTAATATATTCTATAAATTTTGGAAAAGAATTCTTGACTAATCTGAATTTTTAGATTTTTTTAAATCTCTTAATACTACTATACTGTTTGACTTAATACTGTTGCTTAATATTCGTTTCGTTCAAATTAAATTCATAAACCTGTACTATTTCTAACTAATAAGCCACACCGCTAATACCATTAATACTACTTCTACTAATACTACTTCTACTAATACTATTAATAATAACTAATAATAACTCTATAGAGAATATTTTAAACGCCGTCATTAAACATTAATAATCAAGACTACTAATAATTAATAATTTAACCTTATAAAAACTAAAAGATTTTTTTAAATTAGATTCAATCCAAAAGAGTAATTTTATCTAGTTTTACAATACCATCTAATCATTTGAACTTAACTAAATTAATATAGATAATATTGTAATAATCAGAAATGTCACAAACCTTAGCTAGCCAAGTATTTGAAGCTGATGACCTTTTGTTGCTGGACAACGAAACATTAAATGGTATCAATATGTTAAATGACGATAATCATTTAATCGATTACAAGGATCTAACTGAAAGCTTCAGCAAATTCACAAATACAGGTTCATTTACTGGAAATAACTATGGTATTTCCTCTAATAGTTGTAGTAATACTACATCGCCAAGTGTTATAGACAAAATAAGTAGTAATAATGATTCTATTTCTACTGCTGATAGTTCAACTACTATGACCCCAGTAGGGTTTTCTACTAAGAATAATAAAGTTGATTTAAACTTTAGTGAATTTATTGATACATTGGATCAAAGTGATTTTAATGTAAATAAATTCTCATATGAAGATAACTCTGTTACATCAAACGATAAGTCAAGTAAGTTTGCTAATCAAGTAGAAAACTTATTTAATGAATACGAGTTTGTACTCAATGATAGATTTGAAGATACTGGCTCTGGTTCTCCACTATATGACAGAAGAAACAGTGAAGTAGTTTCAAATATCAATCAGAATTCTAACAAGTATACCAGAGGTTCTATTTCTTACAACGTTGATACGTGGAATTTTGATTCATTGAATTCTGTTCCTGAAAGATCATCCGACCCATCTAGTAATACTTACAACGGTAACATGAACAATACTTTTCTTTCACAACCTTTGCAAAGCGAAGTCTCTCAAGTTTTAAACAACTTCGCTTTGAACTTTGGTTCAAATAACAAAGCAACTATCAATAGTAACAGATTTTCATTACCGGTAATCGAAGATTCTGTTAGCTTTAGTACTGATAGCCCATTTTCTTTCAATGAACTATTTGATAAGGATAACTTCAATCCATCAAACTTACAATTTAATCAAAAACCAAATAATGTCATTGCTGGTCAAAGAAGAAAATCGTGTGTTTCACCAACTTCACCACAATCTGGTAACTCTACAATTGCTACTTCCAGTCGTCATAACAGTATTGTAGGGAATAATAGCCAATTTGTCGACCAATACGTCGTTCCATCTTTAACTGCATCTCCAGCCGCAAGATTAGCTGCTAGCAATGTTGTATTAGAATCAAACAGAAGAGCATCCACCAACTCTGTCAAGACAAGGATGAATGCTAAATCAAGAAGAAGAAAGTCATCAGCTAAAGCCAACAACAGTGAGGTTTCAAAGATACTATCTCAAAACTCTGTTTCAAACATTGTTAAGAATTTAACTGCATCAAAGAGAAATAGTTCTATATCGATAAACTCTAATGATGAAATCGAAAAGCCATTCAAGTGTGGTGATTGTACAAAACAATTCAGAAGAAGTGAACATTTGAAGAGGCATATAAGATCTGTGCATTCTAAGGAACGTCCTTTCCCTTGTAAATACTGTGATAAGAAGTTTAGTAGAAGTGATAATTTATCACAGCATCTAAAGACACATAAGAAACATGGCGATTTCTAATTCTTCCAAGTTTGTTTGATTTGAAAGGGGCAAAAGGATTTATAATATCTTACTGGTAAGGTTATTAAATTATTTTCGTTTATTTAATTTAATTCAATAATCAATAATTATTACAACAATGAATTGTTTTGAATTTTCTGGAGGATATTATGACAAATGGGGAAATATTATGAAATATTGATCGTTCAGCTTGAATGATTTTCTCTTTTCATATATTTCCATAGAGATATATTCTAATTTTTTTATTCTATTAATTATTAATGTTTTTTTTTTTTGATTTTTTGGGAAAGCTTATCTCCCACCCAATTCCAATTACAAACTTCCTATTATAATTAATTAATACACCTATATATTTACTTATATACAGTTTAATAGGTTTAGTAAACTAGAAGAAGTCGACTTTTTCTGTATGATCCCAAACAAAAACTGATTATTTGTTTCCAATTGTATTCTCCGATCTAATAAATAAAGTTTAATTCAAAAAAATGTGTTCAAACACATACTCAATAAATAAGATTCAATAAATATCATTCTCGAAGATCATTATCCGATTACTCCCCTGACCAATATCAATACTCAGTCCTTGTTTTGTTTACACTTTTAAAACTGTTTGTTTTTATTCGACCTGGCTGATTTCTATACTTAGTGACATTTTGTTTCGGTTTTTACAGTTGCGATATCAAATTCCCGATCGAGATTTAAAATTCGAACCAGGATTTAGATCAGGTTTTAAAAAGGTTCGACCATTGCATAAATTCCTAAGTGTCGAGGTAAAGTTGAACCATATAGGAGTTACTGGTTAGATTTTTGACTATCTCATATATTTGAAAGAGTCGTGTTCCAGCTTATTATATATATTTATATAAACTTTTGTTTATTTTAGATAGGAGGAAACTGGGTAGCAGCGTTTGTCTTAAGTTTATCGGTTCATTTAATATTTTATTCTTAATATATTAGGGAAAGATAGACAGGTTCTAAAGATTATTAGGTTTATTTAAGCTTGGAAGTTATTTCTATTACATACTATACATGATATCCTATACAGATTGTTGATCCTAACTAATCAAATTTTGATCATTTATTTATTACGTTACAATACTGATTTCATATTCTTCACAAATTCGAAAACTCATTAGAGATAATAATATACAGATCTTCTACTAAATGAGTGGAGACCATCAGTTTAGATCCAATACATCTCTGAAAGATGATGCTGAAGGAGGCATACTAAGAAAAATGTCTCTTGGAAGTCCATTTCAAGATAGCTCAAAATTTATTAAAAATATTCATTCATATTTGAAATCAAAGAAAAAAACTAGCAAGTATCAAAACAAACCTGATAGTACTATCAGTACCAATAATTCTCCAAACTCTGATGATTTGGCAATAAACATCGATACCTCTTTTGATATCGACGAATCTCCATTGGGACTTAAAATTACTTCAAGTGACCAACAACCATTTTCAAATATATATTCCTTATCACCAACGAAATTGAATAAGAATAAAACAAATGACACTTCAATACAATTAAAAAGTTTAGATACATCATCGAAAAGCAAACAACCTTTGCCTTTTACCGATCTATCAAACGATTTAGATATAATTTCCCAAAGTAATTCTGAAATTACCAAAAGATCTATCATCGATGACTCTTCAATCAAAAGGAACTTGTTAGACTTAAGGTTAGATAGCCCAAAAAGTTCACCTAGAAATGATAAATTTAACCATAAGTATAATAATGCTGTTCATAAAAATCAAGATAGTTCAAAAAAGGATAGAAGAAAAATTAAAACTCAAAGAGCTCAATCATTAAAGAGAATAAATTCAATGTATTCTAATCCAAAAGAGCTAGAAAATTCCATTTCGAAAATGAAAGAAGAATCCAAGGATGATTTGAGTTCAATGATTCCAAAACAATTATTTGAGTCTAGATTATCATCTAGTAATATATCTGTATATTATAACAAAAGTAATAACGAAAAAGATCATTTCCCAAGAATTACTGCATCCACTTTGAAAAAAATAACACAGGATAAAATATATGAACCACATTATAGTGCATGTTATATCGTCGATTGTAGATTCGAATATGAATATAGTGGCGGTCATATATTAAATGCAATGAATGTTCCATCAAAAGATGAGCTAGAATGGGAGTTATTAAATGAATCAATTCTAAACTCAATGGGAGATAAACCAATTTTACTTGTTTTTCATTGTGAATTTAGCTCTTATAGAAGTCCAATAATGGCATCACATCTGAGAAATTGCGATCGAATACTAAACCAAGAACAATACCCTGAGCTGCTTTATCCAGACATTTTGATTTTAGATGGTGGATACAAGTCATTTTATGACGAATTTCCAAAGTTATGCTACCCTTGTAATTATGTATGTATGGATTCTCAAGAAAACTTAGCAACAAGAAATCAAGAGATGGGTAAATTTAGGAATGATTCTAAGAGAAACGTCTCAAGAAATTCCTCATTATATCGATTAACATCAATTTCAAGATCAACTACGAAGTTGAAGACAGCAAATTTGATAACCACCACGACCAATGATACAACGTCTCAGCTTTACAAATCACAGACATATAATTCTTCTTTTGCTTCATTTAAACCAGAGCCACCAAAAAAATCAATATTCTCTAGATACCAAGATAATGATTCCTTTGAGAGCATCATAGATTCGTCGCCTATAAGTAGAAACTCTGCAAAGTTATTTTATGGAATAAATAATCTAGAACCCACCTCAAAATCTATCTTCAGTGACGATACCCGGGATTATGAGATCCAAAGTCCAACTATAGGTCAAATATTCTCTGAATCAAAAACTACTAATCCTTTTAATGAATCAGATTCAGAGTATTTAGATGATGTACCTTCAATTTATGAAACTCCTATTAACGACACTTTTGAAAGAAATATAGAATTTAACAATAATTCATAATAGACAATACTTTATTAATTAAGAATATAATTTTGATTATTCAACTTTACATAATATTTAATAACTAATCAATCATAATAATTAATCATAATAAAATATAATTACAATTCATATTACATATATTTACAAGTTGGAATGCCATTTTTATTGGAAACAAGCAGAAAAATCATGAAAGATCTGGATTTATAGTTACTACATTCCCTCTACCCAAACTCTCCTTCAAATCAGTTCCCCATCTTGATGGAGGCCATATTACTTTAACAGCTTTTCCAATTACTAGGCCTGACGATATTGGTCCAAATTTATTACTATCTATTGAATGAAAGACATTGTCACCTTCAACCCATAGGTGATTTCTTGGTATAGTCACAGTTTCTCTCGGATATGGTGCTTTTGTCTTTATGGTATCATACTGTATACCTTTTATTCTTTTGCAATATACTGTGCTTGGATCTGATGGTGCCTTAAATAAGATAATATCATCCCTATGTAAATTATATGATTTTTGGCAACCAAATTTCCAAAGTAAAACCCAATCATTGGAAATTTCATTATCATTAGGATTCAAAGTCGGTCTCATAGATGATCCTTTGATATTAGCTACATAGCAAACGTTATTATTGAAGGTCATCATTACAGGAATCCAACTCAAGGTAATAAATGCAATTTTAAAAGAATTCACTTTAGCCATCTTTAATTAGTTTCTTTGTCTATGTAGAAGTTGCAATTTCTAGAACTCTCTTATAATGTATCTAATCCCTCACCCAATTCGCTAGTCCAATTCTTCAAAGAATAGTATTGTTGTCGTATTCTTTATTTATCTATCCATCAAATGTAATAGGTTCAACAGCGAATACCTTGGTTTAAAAAATATCCCATATTATACCAATCTTCAGAGTGATAATTTAACCCTTGACCAATCTTTCCCAATCATAACTCATGTACCAAGTTTCAAATACTGTTTATAGTTGAATCAACTATCTTTTCTCGAATTTTTCATGCATGTTCAAGAATTAATTTAGAGGATGTTGTTCGGAATATAAAGAAACTTAAGGTGTAATGAGAGAAGAGTTCAAAAGTTTAATATGAATTAATTAACTTTTTAAATATTTATGATATATCTATAGTTTTATATTTAATTATGTATATAAATTTATTATCTTTAGTTTATAATTATTATCAAAACACAGATTAAATGACTTTGAATTTTATTTCGAACAATAAAAGGAACATTTCATTGAATGTATGCTTCTCTTGGAATATTGTTCAGACTGCTTTGGAAACCTTTAATGGCAATATCGTATGACCATCCACTCTGTTCAGCCAACATATATGTATATTCTGCGTTTAGTTTTGTTTGTAAGTGTAATTTATTCAATAATTCTAATTGAATAGAACTCAAACGTGCTCTAACGTCAGGTGGTAGTTGTAATGTTGGTGCTAATTGTACGGAGTCGATAGCAGGAGGAGCATTACCCATTATTGGAGCTTGAGGCATATTCAACATGCCATTTTGTTGTGCAATTTGTTGCGGTTGTGGTTGTGATTGTGATTGTGGTTGTTGTACAATTGTCTTTGGTTTGACCCATGCTGGTGTTACATAGGGTCTGATTGTCAACAGATCTGATGCAATGACGACACTGTTACCCATTGGAACAATTACCCATGTTCTATCAAAGGATTTTTTCCCTAGCTTTTTATCAGCTGAACTATTGCTACCATGGTTAAATCTTCTTGGTCTACCTTTATTACTTGTGACATTTGGCTTAGCGGTTTCATCAAAGAAACCATGCAATGTAATCGTGAATCCATTAACTTGACCATAAGTAAATGATTCCATCGAATATTCATCGGGTTCATCTTGTAAATGGTGTTTACTCATAGGAATGGAATTAAAGATTTCACTAATAGCCTCTGGTCCAGTGGCTAATTTTTGTTGGATTGAGCTTTCAGTAGAAATCTTCGTAATATTACGAGAATGGGATAAGTAATAACCAAATGCAGGGGTCTGATCAGAGTTTTTGACACTAATTGGTGGTACAGATGAATCTGATGACATGGAGAATTGAGATTGTGGAGTATATAATTGTAACAATTGTGATCTATCTGTGTCCCATAAATTCAAGAAATTTGAGACAAAATCGGTTGATGATTGACCAAGCTGGTCATTTTCAAAGAAAAATGGTTGAATTTTAAATGGAAAAGAGAATATACTATCCATTTTTTGAGCGTCTCTAACCACAACATTATCCAGCATCACTAGTTTTGGGAAAATTCTTAACATTTCTGATCTGTAAGTTCTTTCATTTGTAACTGGATTATTTGTCATCAACAACTCTCTCAAATTCTTGAATTTATTCTTCCAGGCTTCCATACTTTTATATCTACTTATTTGATTATTAGCCAAACACAAATTTTTCAAATTTGGGAAAGATTGAGCCAAAGTTGTAATACCATTAATATCTCTCAGGTTATTATCCGATAAGTTCACACTTTCCACTATTATTTGTGGTTCCTTAGAGGCCAATTTCATTAATGCTGGGAACATCTTTGACTGAGTAGTCATAGTTGAGAATAAACCCTTCTGTTGTAATTCTACATCCGTATGAAGACTACCTAAATTTAACATCTTATTCTGTGGGTCATAACGCCTGTACAGAAAGCCTTTCAATAACTTAACTGTCGGCGATTCATCCTCAGCACCACCTAGAATTTCTATCTTCAAATTATTACCAGCAAACCTCATACCATTAAATTTCTTTAATGTTTCAGCATCACTCTTACTGGATACATAACCTATTACTCTATTCCCATCTATTCTTGGTTCTCTTACTGAAACTCTCGAGTGACGGCTAAGAAAGTTAATCAAGTCCTGTACACTCCCATTCTGCCAGTTATAGATGGCGACCTGAACCCTGTTGGCCATAGCTTGCTGGTTAGCCATGGCGTTTATATTGTTAACGTTGTGAAAATTATTCATTGCGCAAAATGCAGCTACCAAAATGGAACACTAACTAATGTCTGCCTTCTACAATAAGAGTAAATTAACAATAAAACTAAGCAAACTCGAAATGGATATACAATGTATCACAGGGTTCAATTTATACAAAGCTATATTACCTTCAAACTATTAAAATTTTCAAGTGATGATGAAGTTATATTTTACATATAGCTTTATGAAAATTTACTAGTCGGTCTTAAATGAAAAATTGGTGATAGTTTTAGCAAAGGAACCTGATTATATATTATATAAGGTACATAAAAAATTGTAAGTAAAGGGTGGATGAAGCCTCTTTGTTATATGATATATGCATTATTGGTCGTTAAAGGTTGGTTGGAACATTTGAGAAGTTATTTGGCTGAAAACAATGTTAAAACGTGGTAACACTTTGGTTACAATCTTATTCGAAACCACGTGATACAATAAAATCAAGATACAGTTCAGCAGCAGACTGTAGATTTTGCCAAGGATAGAAACAGACCAAAGCTGTCAATTGAATAACTACCACAGATCATTATCTAACAAGTCTAATGTTTTGACTAAAGTTTTGTACTCTTCCGAGTGAAAATACTCTTGCAGTTTAATTCTAGAGTAATAAACTGGACAGTCGTATGAGTTACATTTAACTGATATAGCAGAACCCATTATCCCTGCATCGTGCGTGTACTTGTATGAACATATCCTGCATGCGGTCAATGTTTTCTTCAATCTTTCTTGTTTTCTTAATTGTCTCTGCAAAAGTTGAACTGAAACAGTGGGTTTTTCATTATTACAATGAACACATAAATGTGTTTTATTTTCTGCCATTTTCTCTTTACAGTTAATACATGTCATACATTTAACATTTGAAAGAGTATTTGTATTTCTTCTCGAGTAGTCCAATTTTAAATTCTTTTTAGAAGCCGAAATCCAGTCCTTTACGCTGACACCTAAAATATTAAATATTCTATCTAAAGGTGGAATTAATGTTTTCATAATATAATACTCAGCGTCTAATTCCAAGTTAGGGTTCTTTAGGAACTCTTCTGGAGACACACCTCTTTCCCTCAGGATTTGACCTTGTTTCCCCTTTACTATCAAATAGGGAACCCTTTCTTTATATTGAGGTTTTGCTCTATGATCATTTTCCATAGCCCTCATAGCTACTATGGCTCCTGCTGGCGTACTTTTTTCACTTTTATATGTACCTAATTTTGCCTCTTTTGCAAAACAAAAATCTTGAATTGAAATGCTACCGGTTTCAATTCTAGCAAACTGTTCTAATAAGTATTCACTGATTTTCGATAAGTTTTTTGTCTCAAACAATAGCCTTATCGATTTTTCAACAATATACTGTTGTGCTGCGTGGCCATCTCTCCTAACGGTTTCAATACCTTTGGCATCAAATATTGGTTCTTTTTGAGATTCTTTTTCAAACGAATAACCAACATAACGTTTCTTACTCAACAACAAACAAGGGTGGTATACCTTCTCAAATTTTAGAATAATCGGATCAGGATTTTGCTTTGTTACTTCTTCAACAATACTCCTTCCAATCTTAAAAGATTCTTCTCTTGACTTCCCCGGAAGATAAACAAATAAACTATCCGTATCACCATACACCACTTTAGCACCCCAATTGTCATTGCTTTCAATTAAGTTGATTGCATTTTGGAGTGTATCACGTCCAGTTTGAACAATGCTATCTGCTAAATCAGAACATGGCATTCTTCCAGAAAATGATGCAGAAGAATACCCATAAGTAACATTTGCAAGCAATTTCAATGCTAATTGCCTATTATTCATAATTTTGTTAAGATCTGAGGAAACATTCTGGAGTTCTGACATTGTATTCTTTACCATCACACGAGTCTTTAAGATATCAGTCAACATTTTTGAAAGGATAGACTTTCTTACAGTAGACTTCAAAAATACTACCCCATTTGGAGAAATTTGGATATCATCTTTCAATAATTTTAGTAGATTATTAGGAATTGACAATGTAGTTGCACCGATTTGATTTCCATTGGGTTTTAAATCTTCAACTCTTCCAAGCATTGTGGAATAACAGTAGTTATAGGCAATCATAATTGATGGGTATAGAGATTGAAAATCGAGAACAAGCAATGGACTTTTGTAGAAGGCAGATTCTGGCTCCATTATTAATGGAACACATTCGAGTGATCTCTGGTCTCGTACTTTCTCTTTACTAGGTGATACCAAGAGAAATTCTTCAGATTTGCAAAGTCTTATCAAGAACGATTCAACGTTATATTGTGAACCACGATAATATACAGAATAAAAATCAATTCCAATCAATCTGGATTGCTCTGTCACTCTAGTTATGTATTCTTGTTTTTTTAGCAATAACATGTTACATCTTACCCTTGTCATCCAATAGCTCATTACTGTTTTAATCTCTGTCACATCATTGCCATTCCACATCTTGGATAAATCACTAAAAGAAAAATGCGGTAACCTCTTGTTTAAAAGTTTGGAACATAGGTTCTCTATAGTATATTGATTAAAATTAGTTGAAGCTCTCATCGCCCTCCAAATGTTAATTATGTGCCTTCCAGTTACTTTCACACCGGATGAGCGATTTGAACCCCACTTATCAATATATCGAGATGCTTCATCTATACTGACTCTAGATAATTCTTCAAGCAAACTTTCCTTTTGTATGAACCGATATCTATCAATAAGGTAACCCCAAGATGCCGACTGTACTTCAAATCCGGACAATATATCTGGATCAAAGAAAAGTATCAAATCAATCAAAGCATCAAACATATCTATCTCTGTTTCATAGAAACCAATTGCCGATGAACCTGCTGCTTGTTCAATTCTTTTTAAATGATAATTGCTTACTTCGGTTTCAGGCCCACAAAATATCATAAATCCTTCACTTGCAACATCCAATTGAAATGGATAAGTTTCATCGTCAATTTTCCATGCTATCAACCTAACTGAATCATTTTTAGGATCTGGAAATTTTGATCCTATATTATCAGTGTGAACTTCTAATGTAAAATGTGTCAAAACATCATGTATCTTGAGCTTCCTTACTTTAGGGATCACAGGATTTTTAGATTTAAGATATGATCTGTTAATAGAATAATTTTTGTCAATTTGCGAGTCAAAGCATTTTTTGGGACTCTTTAAACTCCCAGTTTTTACATTATTATAAGAAGGTGGTTTCGGAATATATTTCCATGTCGAAGAGTATTTCGTTTCAGAATGGGATTCCAACATTATCTCTTCATTATCAAATTGAATAGGAATTTTACATCCTAGATGGTGCGATCTGATTTCAAACCTTTTCCCGGCATACTTATAAACTTTATCTTTGAGATCTATCGGATTTCCGAAATATGGATCACAATAATCGATTTTTGGATAACCTTCTGATTCCAGATCATTTAAAATGTCATTAAATAAGATTGGCGGACTTCTGAATACTAGAGAGTTGTGACTGTTTTTAATACCGATATTTTTATTCATCATCTTTAATTTTTTAGAATTATTGTCTACATTAGAAGTAGAATCAATCTTTTTACATTTTCGTTTCTTAAACGTCTGTGTCATAAATGTATCCATTGAAAATATCTCAGAATTATTGTCTATTTTACCTACTGGAAGACTGCTTATATCTTCTTCATCTAACATATTTTTCAATTCATTTTTTTCGTCTTGACAGGCTTCTTCATCAATATCAATTGGAGTATTACTATCACTGTTTTCATTTACCTCTTCATACTCATTGATAAGTTCATCTATATCTTTCCTTGAATTGGTATTGCTTTCTGATTTTTTAATGTCAGCCTGGTCATTCTTTAATAATTTTAACTTGGGCCATAGTTCTGCAACCGATATTGAAGGAGTATCAATTTTATCAAATCTCCAATCATTATAAATAAATGATTCAAACTTTATTTGCTCATCTTTTAAATTATTTGAATTAGAAGCTGCTTTTTCATATAATCTTTGGTATTCAGCAGTCCGCTCAAATATAATTTCTTTCTCATAACGCTCAAAAGGCTTTGGTTCTTCATAAGGTTTTAGACCTGATTCTTTTCTTAGTCTTTGTATATCCTTGAATAAATTTTTCGTAGAATGAACATAGGAAGTTTTAAAGTGTTTGTAACTTTCGTTAGTTTTTTCAATGAAATCATGGTGTAATTTAATAAATTCCAGGTCATCTCGATTCCTAATAAATTGAGGGATGATATCAATTTCAATTAGCGAATTTCCTATTCTTGGATATTCCTGTGTAGATAAAGTATTAGTATCACAAAACCGTTCGATAAATGAAGACAAATCCTCATTATTGAGTATTTTATCCAAATCTAAAATTGTATTTAAAATAGGCTTTCTGAAGTAACATTTATCTAATTTGATCCAAGAACATCCAAATAAATTGTAGTCTGAACTAAACTGTAGAAGATATGGTATATGCGATTCAAAGGTCTCAACTTCATTGTCGAACATCACACCGTCTCTAATCAAATCAGAAACCTTATTAGAATATTTAGGATTCAATAATGAAATCTTGTAGAATAAAGACCAACCGACATTAAACCCATAAAATGGTATAGCCTTGACAATAGAAACGTTTGCAATATATTTCAATCGATTGCCATCACCATACCTATTTGTTTTCGAACCTTTAGCCTTGTTCCTCTTAGAGGATGTATCACTGGTTTTTAATTTATCTTCAAACAGCTTATGAAGTCTAGCACATCTCTGATTCAATTCCAATGATGAATCATAAACATTCCCATCATATCTGATGTAGATATAAGGAAATACACCATGTACATGACACAATACAGTATGGCCAGTGGGAAGTGAACCATAAACTCTAATAACGGGCACACTTTCAAATCGATGCAAAGGTAAACTAGAGCCATATTGGGAGTCTAATTGAGTTGGACATGACATATAACTGTCATAACAGTTCATCTGTACATATATACCGTCATCTATCGGAAGTGATGAGGTAGCACCAGATATGATATCTTCTGAATCCATCGTTGTAACATAATACCAAAAACTATTAAAAAATCAATGCAACTTCTTGAAAAGCTTTAAATATACCAATTAGAGAGTATAAAAATGATACAATGTATCAATTTAGAAATCCTTGTCTTCCTTTTACCTCAAATTGTTCTTAAATAACCAGTTTATCAATATTTTTATATTAGATCAATATGAATGTTAAAAATCGAATTTAAAGAGTGTCTGATATTGAAGAAAGAAAAGGTTTATCAATGTTTAAGTAATGATAAGGAATTGGTGATATCTGGACGATACATAGATTAGGAACTTATTGAGGAAGCTGATTTGGGCTATAAGAAGTATGGATAATTCAAATACTGCTATTTACATCCGAGTTAAGGGTCAGAGGCCCAAAGGTTTTGTAGACCCTTTGCCATTTGAATGGAATCTGGAGAAAGAGAAGCGGTTATGGTCGATAATCTCAACTCTGGATAGCAATAGACAGCAGATTAATTGGAAATTGTTATCAGAGACTATTGAAGTTCCTGAATATTTTTTAAAAGAAAGAAGTTATACATTGTTTAGTAACAATTTACAGAAGTTAGGGAAGTTCATCGACAATAATAATACGAGCAATGATCCTTCTAAAGTAATACCAGGAACTAGTCAGACTGGTGATTATTCAAATTTAAAGGCACTTGATGTCTCTAAAGGAAGCATGGACGGGAAAGACATGTGCCAAGATATGAAAGAGATCAATGACCCAAATTATGTAGATTATGATGTGGATAATGAAGACGAAACCGCCGAATTAACTTTACAGAAGTTACAAACTTCAAAGATACTGACTCAACAGAACCCAATGAAGATTAGAAGTAAAGAAAGGAAAGAAGAATTTCAAGAAACTTCAGATGCTGATTTATGGTCAAGTTTAAGCGTTAGTACTTCTGCTTTAGAAGAAGCTTTGATGGATAGAATGCATATATAATTAGGATCCAAAGAATGCTAACAAATGAATATGTTTTCATTAAAGAGATATTGAAATATTAATTAGCTATTACCACAAATGATTGATTGGACTTCATAAGAAAGTGCATAGGATGGACAATATTAGGGATGGTTTATGGAGATCACGTGATAAAGCCATTTTTTGTATGATCTTAAATATTTGCTCTTACAATGTTCCATCGAATCTTTAGACGTAAAGGAGCTACAGCAACCAACATCTAACAATGCTATTAGTTATGGGTAAAGGTATTTTTAATGAGCTCTTTAAATAATAGATAACACTGTCATCTTATAATATCAAGAGGTCAATATCAAAAGTTACAATAAAATAAGCAATGTCGTTATACAAATTAATCACACCAAAGGCATTTTCAGAGTTACTACACAAGGAAACCACTTGTAGAGTTATTCCAGTTGATGCAACATGGTTTTTGCCAAACTTGAAAAGGGATGGTAGACAAGAGTTTAAGGATATTGAGCGTATTCCAGGTTCAGTCTTTTTTGATATTGATTATATTAAAGATCCTAACTCAAAGTATACCCATATGGCACCAGATTCAAATACTTTCAATAAGTCAATGAGAGAGTTGGGTATTAAAAAGGATGATATATTAGTAGTATATGATAGAAATGGGAACTTCAGTGCTCCAAGAGTTGCTTGGACTATTGCTTTGTTCGGCCATTCCCCAATTTACTTGTTGAACAACTTCCAATTATACAAGAATGAAGGCTATCCAATAGATACCACAAAGAAGAGTGCTTTCTCAGAATACCCAAAATCAGATTATACATCAGAAGTAGATTTACGTTCAAAGGAGATTGTATCGTATGAAGAATTAGTAGAGTTGGTGAAGTCAGGTAAATTAGCCTCCGAATACAATGCATTTGACGCTAGATCATTGGGAAGATTTGAAGGTAGAGATCCAGAGCCAAGAGCTGATATGCCATCTGGCCACATATCTGGAAGCGATCCATTACCGTACCCTGAAGTTCTAAACGAAGGTGTATTCCCATCAACTGAAGAAGCTAATAAGGACAAATTAAATGAAGCCTTTAAGAAGCTAGACATAGAATTTCATGCAGAAAAACCAACTATCGTGATGTGTGGTAGTGGTGTTACTAGTATCATTATCAAGACAGCATTAGAACAATCAGGTGCCAAGGATGTCCGCTGTTTCGATGGTTCCTGGATAGAGTGGGTCTCTAGATCTGATCCATCAATGCTTGCGGTAAACAGAGATTAGTCAATTTTTAATATAGAAGTACTATAAAATAAGGAATTTATGATATAGGAATTAAATAGACAAATATAGCTATATATTTAGACATTATGATCGAATTACGAACCAGTCCATCATTTCCATAATTAAATATGTAATTTGGCTTAAACTAGTCACCACTAACGATTTTAAAGCATTTAAAATAAGACCAACTTATCTCAGTAATATAATAGTCAAAGTATATATTTGAACTGATGATTAAGGTAGATAAAAGATCACCAAACTGCACAATTGATAGATTGTTTGGCATTTAACAAGTTGTATTGTATATCGCTGTTGTTTTAATATGTCTATCTTACCAGGTATTGATAGTACGCCCACTACAAATGAACTATTTGAAGGTACCAATGAAATACATAAATTAGAAATTGAAAAAGGTTATGAATGGAAAGTTGAAGTAAATGCTGAATCTAAATTAGTTATTGAAGTGAAATCTGGTATTGCAGAAATATTTGGTACCGAGCTTGCCAATGATATTGAATATTCTTTTTACAATAACAAATTTTCGATATTGGCAGTTGAAGATGTATCTTTAGAATGGAGATGTCCTGAGATACCTGAACAGAAACTGATGATCGGTGAGAATAAGACTGCTAAATATGTTTACAACTTACATTTCTCTCTGGAAAAGATGAGGGCGGCCAGTTTTGATGGTCCTAAAGTCATGATAGTCGGTGGTTCAAATACCGGTAAAACTGCTCTAGCAAGAACACTTTGTTCTTACGCAATTAAATACAAATCATATCAGCCAATGTTTATTAATTTGAATCCAGAAGAAGGTATTTTCTCAGTTGCTGGTTGTCTAACCGCTACTCCAATTTCTGATATTCTAGATGTTCAGTCTACTATATGGGGACACAGTATGACCAGTGGTGCAACAATGCTACATAGTAAACAACCACTAGTTAAAACATTTGGGTTGGAACATATTAAAGAAAACCAAGATTTATACCTAGCTACATTAAAACAGTTGTCAGAAGTCGTTAAATTAAGACTACAAAATGATGTCTTAGTCCATAGATCTGGCTGTATTATTGACACACCACCAATTTCAGTTATGGATGATGATTTAACTGAATTAACTACTACATTCAAAGAATTTAATGTCAATGTTGTAATACTTTTAAGTGATGAACAAGAAGATCCACTTTTAACAAAATTAAATGATAAATTGTCAACAATCTCATCTAGCTTTAATCTTCTAAGACTTCCGATATTATCAGGGGTAATAGAAAGAGATGATGTATTCAAGAGATCGCTGCAAAGACTAGCAATTAGAGAATACTTCTATGGCAGTCCATCCGTAGTTTTAAGTCCATATACCATAGGTGTAGATTTCGAAGATATCACAGTTTGGAGGCCAATAAATTTCATAGAAAACCCAGAGGAAACATCGCAATTGTTACCAACTCAATTATTGCCAGTAGAAGTGAAACCAACTACATTACAACATGCACTAGTAGCCATCTCATACGCTGATCGAAAGGCGAATGAAAGCAACGTTCAATTAGCACCAACTCTTGGTTTTGGTTTAATCACTGAAGTCAACGACAAGAGAAGGAAACTTCGTATTCTGCTTCCTGTACCTGGTAGGCTCCCTGATAAAGCAATGATCTTAACAGCATATAGATACTTAGAATAATTGTATAAATTTTTAATTCCAATGCATACTAAAATCTTTATAAGAACCTTTTTTTCTGAAACTACCATTCTTCAGATCTGTCTTAGATATCAAAATGTGTAAACCTCATCATCATCTAAGAGAATTAAAATTTAAAGGTTATGATAAAAGAAAACACAACACAAAGTAATAGACTTAAAGTTGAAGATAATCAATTAAGGAAGGCTATCGGTAACATATTTGAAGATCACATAGGTTTGTTATGCATAAAGGTGCTTTGATTGTCACATACTCTATTACTCCATATGATATTTCCATATTACTTTTGATCTATTCGTACTGCTATGAAGATACTAAGATTCCATTAGAAGTGCTGATAAAATTAATCAATCCAACGTTACCAAATCAAGAGTTTAATCCTATCATACAAGAGAACTCCTATGTTCAAGATATCAAGAAACCAATTCTTCCTTTCCTCGATGATATATGTGGCTATCTGATAAGTTGTGATCAAAGACCTTTGATGCTAAAATTGATATCGATGTTGAAAGCAGTAGATGCCTTAGACATAATTACACAGCTATTGAGGAAATTAGAGGTCGAATGTCTTATCAAGAACTATCACAGGAAGAAAGAAGGTATTGTTGTAAGATGTCGAAAGATTGTGAGATCAAGTGTTTTAGGAATGTATCTACAACGCTGTATCTCAAGATATCGAATTGGTGACTTTAATGATAAAGAAGATTTATGGGATAATATACAGAAATTTATAGATCAATTTGATTATGAAAGTTATGTTGATAATTCTAATTATAATATTATAAGGTATCAGTTTACATTTTCAACAACAAATAACTATTTAGAGGGACACGATGATGATATTATTGCATTTATGAAAGAAGCTTCTAAAAAGCTGGTGTCGGATGAAAATAATGCAATAATGGTATCCCATGAACATTTCCAAGCCTTATTAAATTGGGAAATCTATTCAATATCAAATTTGAATATTGTCACAATGAAAAATATTGATATTTTAACTTCAAATGTTTCTTTAAATGATTTAACTAAGTTTCCATCAATTCATATTTTAAGATATTTATTAGCTCTTAATAATGATAGTTACCAGACTGCATTGGATTCCTTACATAATTATTTTGATTACATGCTTACCCAAAATGGGGATAATTATTTCCATATATCTCTACTAGGATTAGGTACATTCTTTTCACATTTCCATAACTGCGAACCTGCAATTAATGCTTTTAAAGAGGCAACAAAGGTAGCAAGAGAAAATAAAGATACAACTATTTTACACCTAATTATGATATGGATTTTAAATTTTATTGAGGGACATCCAGAATATGCAAGTAGTTTCCAAGTGACAATATCACAGATTGTACGATATTTGAAATCTTGCTCAGAATCAGAAAGTTCTTCTGTATTTGAAAATGCTTATAAATATGAAGGATTGCTACAGATGACAAGAAATTCAAGGGCAACTCAAATACTAGAATCATCTTTTAAATATATGGTAATCGCATTACAAAGTTATAGGCATCAAACTGAAATGAATTCTTTTTTTAAATATTTTAAAAAATTGTGGGAATATTTTGGTTATGAATCATTGTCAAATGTGTATTCAAGTTTAATGACAATAGAACTCTCAGATATTGATAGAGAAATTCAGACCGTGTCACAAAGTTCCAATTATGACAGAGAAGGGACACATAGCTTACTAGCTAAGTTAAATTCACCAAAATTGACTTATCAACAATTGATGGGTATTAAACTAATCCAGGTTCAGTATCTTAATTCATTTGGTGATCTTCAATCCTCAATGGAAAAAATATCAACCATTTTAGAAGATAAATATTTAGAATCATATTGGAGCTCAAAATTCGAGAAAGAAAAATGTAATATTCTCCTGAAAAGTAAAGTTGGGATTCGGTTTATTCCTGAATTGATGAGAATCATAGATAGAACTTCTAAAAGTCAAAATCCATTACAGTCTGCAGAAAATTTGTTCCTACTTGTACAGATTCTAATTCAAATAAACAAGTTAGATCAGGCCAAAAAATTGATAGCTGATAATATATTGCCAGCTTTTGCATATAAACATATTAGAAGACAAATTCTTGAGACTGGCATATTTAGCTGAAATATTTATCATTATTTGGCATTTATAATATGTAATTGTGATTATTTAGTAGCATTAATCCTATATCCATATATATGAATATTATCCTCCAGATGAACTTTCAATCTCATAGTCGAAATTACAACCTCCAAAACTTTTTGTATCAGTTACATCATTATATGACTTTTCCTTCAATTCAGCCAATGGTATGGTTGACGGTCTTCCATGAGCGCATTGGAATGGGAAATGGCAATCAGACAGCTGTCGTATTAATATTCTACATTCTTCTTTATCAAGTTTATCGCCAAACATAATAGCACTTCTACATGCTCTACTATTGAATAATTCCAGAAGAATTATTGGTATATAACGAATATACTTCCACCATTCAAAATCAAGTTTCTTATCTTTACCATTATCATCAAACATCTTATTTACTGAAAACTTTTTAAAATCTTTCAACTCATAAATATGCTGTAAAAGAGCCGCCTTTACTTGAGGTCCATCAATTTTCAACTTGTCGTAAATACTGTCTGGTAATTGAATTAACTTCAAATACGAAGAAAACTCAACATCATAACACACTTCATACTCTATCCCCCAATATTGAAACTCTTTTCTATAATATTCAAATAGATGATTCTCGGACTCAGTAATAAGGAATTTTATTTCTTTGATCTTTCTAGTAGTGACAGTTTTAGATCGAACAGATGTCAAATATTCCTTTAGGTATTCCTCTAATTTTATTCTTTCATCACATGCATGCTGATCGATTAATAGCAGAATTGGATTACTCCTCTTAATATTAGTTGGCAATATCAGAAGAATAAACTTTCGATCTAATTGATTAATTAGCTTACAATCCATTAGGTCTAAGCGATCTAGGTTAAATTCAGTGATATCGATATTTTGCGAGTCGCCATTATATCTACTTATGTCAAAGATATCTAGGAATGAACTGCCAGGAATGCTGGAGATATTCTTTTGCAATTTCTCTAAAGTATTATCTTGTTTGAATACCCTTGTAGGTTTCAATGAGTAGTTCTTGTGTATCTTTTTGACGTTTTTATGATTCTGGTATCTACCTTCAATTTCATTCGGTTGAATTCTAGCACTAATTGATTTTGAGGTGAACATTGAAGAAAGGGTATCTTTTGATAAGCTCTCGAGTAGCAGGCTTTTATGTATTTTGTTTTCATAAGATACATTGATATCAGTCTCAGAAATTGTATTCGAAGCGCATGTATAACCTTGGTATCGGAGAAATCGCTGAATAATTTTGGTAATTAGAGTATCGATAATTGTAGAATGAGTTGAAATTTCAATAACCTTTTCTGAATTTTGTAAACAATCACTCAAAGATGGAGGACACGAGATAGTCAAAATTAAAGCCATATATTTGGAATATAATTTTCTCGATGATTTTGTTGGGGAAGTCTCTGAATCTTTATTGTGGCCAAAGCCTGAAGATTGACTGATATTGTCAATAGACTTGAAGAGACCCTGGTTGCTGTACTTTCTTCCATTTATATAAACAAATTTCATCCTTTTGGATGAAACTGCTTCCTTAGAAATAACACCATTTATAGTATACTCCCGAAACTTTATGCTAACCCTTTTAAAGGAATTCAATGATACTGGGGATTGATAAACATTTCTGAACCTGACAGTCAACAATTCGAACTCACAGTATTTGTTGGCGGGAAGAATATTTAACAGACTTTTAGTGTTATTTGAAATCACCTCATTAAATGAAATACCTATATTTGGATGAAATATGGAAATTTGGAAAATTTCTTCTTTGATATCATTTATAATAGAGTATTTAGGTATATCTAAAGCCATGTTTCTTCTAACGGGTAAATTATAAAAAATAGTTTCCACTAAAACTGAAGTTCCTGTTTCATAAATGCCTTTTGGGATTAGATTAAAAGCTGTACTATCTGAATTGGTTACCTCTTCTGTTAGCATTGTAGCTCTTAAAGGCATCTTTTTAATCCATGTAGAATTATAAGCTGTACATTTAGAAGAAATAGTTAATTGAGAAAGTTTTGAAATATTACTCAGTGCTTCTCCTCGAAACCCATAGGTATCTACATTTCGAATATCCTCTAAAGAAGTGATCTTTGAAGTAACATTATCATCTCCAAGGTTGTCCAAGCTTTCTGGAGACATACCATGGCCATTGTCACTTACTAAAAATGAATGGGACTCAAAATTCACAAATATTTTAATGGTTGTCGATTTTGCATCTACTGAATTTTGAATTACCTCTCTGACTGTCGAACTTAAAGAAATTGTCTTACTCTGAGGTACAAGAAGTCGCAGTACCTCCGAATCAACCTTATGTATTCGTTCTGACATCAATACTAAGCATCTCCTAAAATCCTTGAACAAAGACCAGATAATTCGGAGACAGCTCTTCTAATACCAGAGTACTTGCTGTATTGCAACCTAAACCATCTAGCAGTACTGGTTTACCTCCATATTTATCCAAGAAGCTCAATTAGCAAAGCAGCTTGTCAATATCAAAATTTAAAGGTGAAGTTCCAGAAGGTAGCATCAAAAGCGATGTGACAAAAAAAAGTGTTGATAATGGAATCAAGGTAATAAAATAATACCGTTTTATAAAAGGTATATTTATTGATGGGCTTATATTTAAATTGCTATAAGATGTGATATATCTCATCAATTAAATATTTTGCAATGTTGTTAATTTTGATTGTAATTTATTTTGTTTTTAGTTTAAAAATTGAGTGGTTGGAAGTTGAATAAGAATTATGCATGTATTGATAAAATATAATAAAATATAAAAAATGATTATTTACCTATTTACACAGCAAGAACTACACAGACAACTATTATATTCGATATCGTTGGATTTATTTAGAAATTGTGTAGTCTTCGTGTAGCTGAATAGTATCTTATTTAACTGTCTATAATAAACTGGTGCCGTTAACGGTGGCATTGGCAGTTAAAGTGACATATTCAGTAACTGGGTCAGCAGTCAAGGTGACAAACATGGTAGTTGGTTCAGCTGTGACAGTGACGTATTGGGTAACAGGAGCACAGCCAGCAATTGATGATGAGTTGGCGTAGAGATAACTGCTAGTTGGGTTGTATAAATTACCGTTCTTTTCTCTGTTCAACATGGCTAATTCAGAAGCATCAGCGGTGACAGTAACTTTCAAAGTTGAAGTGAAAGTGGAGGTAGTATAAGTGTCAGACACATCATTATTGGTGGTTGAAGCAGTGTTTGAAGCAAAGGATGAGGTAATGACAGCGGCAGCAACGTTGTTGTTGGTACTTGTCGTCTGGGAAGAGGCTAAACTATACCATTGGGTAACAAAAACGGTGTTAGTGATATAGCTGGTAATAGTACCTTGTTGCATGGCAATAGTTGTTAAACTTGGTTTAACAGTATAAGGTGGAGCCAAAGTGGTAGTAGCACCAAATTGAGCTACTGCAGCCACAGTGTCATTGGAGTATAAATCTTTAGCAAAAACCAAAGAGATACAGAATAGGTAAAACGATAAAACAGTTTTTTGATAGCATATGAATCGATTAAAGATTAAAAATTAAAATTACAATATTATTACAAATTTAAATCGGATTTGAATATAAATATAGAAACTATTATTTTAATGAAAAGTTTCTTAGATATAAGCTAATGAAACGAGTAAAAAAAGAATAAAATAAAATTAAAAAGAGTGGACGAGACCTATTAAAATTGGCTCAAAATTTTTTAAAAGTTGGTTAGTTAGTATACCGATTTGAGTTTGTAATTACTGGTGAATTTAAAACAACATTAAGATATAGATAAAAAATAAAAGAAGAAAGAAATCCAATTAAATCAAAAGTACCATTACAAGTTAATTGAATTGGTTAAACTAAATGAAAAGAAAAATTGTTCCACTATATGAAAATGTCGATATTCTTATATACCATGCAATAAATGACATATCAAAAGACCTATTTTCCATCAAATAAACAAACACTGACACGAAAAGTCAAGATACATGATATAATCAAAAACTCGTGTTGGAGGTTCCTGATGATAATGACAAAATAACAGTATCCATGTAGCCACCTATTATAACTTCCAAGCCACTAAAGCATTAAAGGGTATCCATAAAAATTGTATTTTAGCATAACAACCTCATCTCTAATGTTCAACAAATACCCTGGTTAACATACTAAAGCTGATCTGACTGTAGTGATCTAATATTTTCGTGTTCATTGTTGATGTTGTCTTGTTATACACAACAAAGCATTGAAAAATATTTTCGATATTTTACAATCTCTACGCGCTTTTCTTACCAATTTGATTTTTCGCGTTAAATCAGAACCGTGTTATCTTTTACATCAACAAAAATGACAATGATAATGACAATGTCCTGGGCATTATGGTTAATGAAAAAGGTTTTATTGTCTTATTGTCTAGACAATACAAATACAAAATGGGATATGATAACAAGGTTTGTCTTGGATTTATTGTGCATAATTGTAGAACCCTCTATGTCGAAATCTTTCTATAATTAGGTTTTGTTTTGTTTTGTTTTGTTGAAAATTGATTCTTGAGAGACAGAACTGATGTGAATTTGGTTTAAACAATTGGAACTTTGTAATCATTTAAATGGGGTGAGTGTTTAATTTACTGATGCTAGAGTATTGTTCTAATATAACGTGCAGATAGTTTTGCTATAAAGTGATGCATTGCAAAGATTAGGAGAAAGCATGATATAGGAGTTGGGTATGAGGAAAAGCAATGAAGATGTAGATGTAGATGTAGATGAATAAGAACATGAATACGACCATGAATATGAACATGGATATGGATATGAATACCATTTGATCGATGTAAAAAAACATAGACTTTAATTGATTTCTGGTCTTATTTTTCATTCATGTGTTTTGAAGTTATTACTTTGTATCATTATGCTTTATAAAAAATTATTTCATATAGAACCATACTGTTGAGTATCTCTAGAGCTAGCTGGAAGTAATTTTTTACTTGGATTGCCATTTATACCAGATACACGGTTTAATATTTTAGTTATGAAATCGTCATCGCCATTATAGGAATCCGGCTCGAAGTTATTGGAGTTTTGCATATTAATATGATCTATCGGTAGTTTAATGATATTATCAACGCAAAAATATTGGAAACAATTTAATAATATAGGACTCACAAACATAACTAAAAATACTTGGAAATTAGGCCATGGATCAGACCACCCTAGGAGTAAATTAGCAAACCAATAAGCGACATCTTCAAAATAATTTAAAATTCCAAAAATTATGATTTTCATTAGAAGCAATCCACTAGTGAATACAATCAACTGTTTAATAAAAGCCTTTTTCAATGGTTTCGGAGACTTTGCAATCCCATTTTCATTATCAACAGTCTCTTTTGAAGCAAAATAATTACCACTTTCGATATTTTCAACTTTAAAGTATATACAAACGTTTTCTATCATAGTCAAAGAGGCCCATAGAATTGGGATACCAATTGTTGTGTCTAACAATAAATTTAAAAAATACCAATCGCATTGATCTTCATCATCATCATCACTTTCCAATTTTTGAAACTCCTCTCCAGTTGACATTAGAAAAGCTTTTAATAAACGGTATGGAATATTTTCCCTTTTCCCCTTTAATATACTTATTCCTAAATTTAAAAAATGGATCACTAGAGAACCAATAACTTGCTTCCCAACATCATAGATCCATACAATCATTTTCCTCCTAGGATGTTCGTAATTCCTCTTTAACAATAACGATATAATTGCAATTGCTCCCATTGCTATTTGAATAGTTATGGAAACTGGTCCCAGTAACTGACATTTCTCCCTATTAATTGCCATTTATTCAACTCAAATGTTCACCAGAACAATAAAATCAACGTTTAGATACCTCAATTTGGGCTTGTGACTAATTATATCACTGATTAATTGTTAGTTAATCGATTTGATAATTACCTCATCAGTGTTAAAGTTGGTAACCTTTTTTATTAATGGCTAATTTAATATTGTAGACATCTCTAAATAAGGTCCCGTGACTAATGATATTTTTAAATGACAGTATATCATCCAATTAAACCAAAAGACATAAAGCAATGACACTGAAGAATACTTATATTCTATACTTTTATAACATCTTCTTGTAGCATATTAAAAATAACACCAGTGCCTACTTTCAAAGTATATATTTGAAACTTCTCTATCAATAAATCAAGAATAAAAAGACTTATAATTACATTTTGATAATTGAACAATATACACATATATTTCTCAGATATCTTGTTATATCAATCAATTGGAACTGCCTTGGATCCATTATGGAATACCTCAATGGTTAGGAGAATTTAAATTAAATACATGGAATTCGTGATTATAAATTTGTATACGTAAAATATGAATATAAGATATTAAGTATCATAAGGATGCAGCGAATATAATTAAAGACATTGTAGGTGTTTATGTTTAATGTGATACAATCAATACAATACTATTGTAGAGATATGAATGAATAATTGGATTCTTTATTATTGATTTTTTTTTTTTGTTTTTTGTTGAACTTCAATAATTTGTTTAGTATTGGGAGAATACTACTATTGTTAATCATTATTCTTCTTAAACTGTTTCATTAATTGTAATAATCGAGTTATGGGTTTCTTTCTCCCTTTGGTACGATTGATCAATTTGTTCCTTTCTTTTGCCAAAACTTCATTTTTAAGTTTGTTCATTGACTCTAAATCTGAATTGGATGGATCACTATTCGTCTCTTCAGGGGGGTGAAATGGTTTCAAATCTTTCAAAACGTCCAAAGGAACATGATCCCATTCTGAATAAAGTTCCATACCTGTTGCTGATGACATCCATGGAGACGGATTCTCTAATTTCATTGCAATCTCATAAAATGTACTGTTCACCCCATTTTTCATTGTCCCAGACAATTTATTTTTCCCAGATCCTTTAGAGTTTATATAGATTGGTCTGTATCCAGAATATAATGCACTTGTCCTTATTTCCCTATGATTTAAGTTCTCAGTAGATGGAACTTTGGGTAACCAAGAGTAATCTAATTTTGTATTATCCCCTGAGAATACTGACTCATCAGACAAAGTCTTACCCATTTTTTTGTGATAAGAAACCGGTTTATCACTAGCCAGTTTTGTACTACCTTGAACTCCATCATTAACACTCTCGCAACTACCCTTATCATTTTCAGAATTAGAAGATGCATTTTCTGTCTTCGATTGCTTGACTTGTTGTTTTTGTTGCAATATTTGACTATTGGTCAAAGTGAATGATGACTGATTTCTGATATTCAAATAGTTCGCAAAAACATCTCTCCTACTCGTCCTAAACAAAACCTTTCTCGACCCTCCACCGAATAACATTCTAATATATTCAAAAGTACACTAACCTTCGAAAACAATCCTGATTACTAACAGGAACTAACTTTATTTTTGATATCTCAACACCCAATAATCTGCTCTCTTTACTCCAAAACCTGCAAGTAATATATTTCAACTTATTAACAATATATCAATGACAGATAATATAATATCTTTTGCACAGTTGCAAACACTTCTAAATCGACGTAAACTTATCTTCTTTTACAGGTGCATAAAGTAGTTTTAAATATATTTTCAAATTATTTTTCTTAAAGGCCCTTCTTAATAAAATCGAAAAATATTGAAAAATTTAGAGGTAAAAAAGAAGTCATCGAACAGAAGGGCAAGATACTAAGTTCTATCAGGATTTAAATTAACTCTATAAGTCTATTGGTGTTGTAATAGGTTGTTAGGTCTCTGGTTTAATATATAATGGATAAAAAAAGTTTTAAAAAGGGTCATTTTTTGCATATTGAGAGGAAGAAATATCGAAAGGAATACAAGCATTTGAAAAATTTATTTAAACAAGATTCGTTAAAGATCATTCATAATGAGGAAGTTAAGGATAGATCTATTTATAAATACTGGATACATAGAAAAAAATTGTTTTCTTTGATTGGTACTTCTCCTATTTATATGACACATGAATTATGGTTTAGCGTTACTCCAGAAGTTATAGCCATATTTATAGCAAAATTTGTCAAAGCCTGTCTTCCTAATGCAACCAAAATATTGGATATATTCTGTGGCGGTGGTGGTAATCTAATTCAGTTTGCCAAATTATTTCCAAAGGTTTATGGTGTAGATTATTCTTTGGAACATTTATATTGCACATACAAAAATGCTATCAGTTACGATGTAGCTGATAGAATATGGTTAAAATATGGTTCATGGCCAAGATTAGCTGCAAAAGGAAGATTTGATAACTTGGGTATTGACTGTGTTTTTGCTTCCCCTCCTTGGGGTGGTCCCCAATATTTGAAACAAGATGTTTATGATTTGGAAAATATGCTAGAGCCTAAAGGTATAACAGATTTACTTCAAAGTTGTGCAAATGTCAGTGACAATATCATATTATTTCTACCGAGAAATTCAAAATTATTACAGCTCTCTAGGGCAACTAGAAAAGTATTTGGTCTTCAAGCCAAATGTAAAGTCGTTTACGTTAAACAAAATGGTTATTTAAAAGGAATGTTATGTATTTGGGGGGATGCTTTAATCAACTACAATGAACTTCCGAACGAAATAGACGATGAAGTTATTGCTAATGAAAGCAATTCATCCGATGAGGTTATAGATAATGCATCAACGTCAGCGGATAATAAAGAACAGAAATCATCTGAAAAAAAATTCAAATTCAATTATGACCTTTATGGGTGATAGATTGATATCCTTAGGGATATAGTTGACAGGTGGGTATTGAATAGAAATATAATAACTGGGCCAAAGGATATGATTTAAGCATACCTTTGATCTGCATTACAAATAAATTTTCATAAATTTATTTAGATTAAATATAAATGATAGAGTTTGTGATATTATTTTTTGTTATTTAATTAATTATTTATTAGTGTATTCTAAATCCAATTCCGAGTTATTGCCATATAAAGGCTGCAATGCTCTCTCTCTTAAACGTCTTGCGCTTTGTAATGCATCAATTAATTTGTCCTTTCTCTCTAAAGTTTTTTTTAGTTCGGCTATCTCAGCATCCTTTGGATTTATACTATCTAACTTTTCTGTCTCACAATCATCAATATCTTTCATTGATAAATCACTCGATGTAGATAAAATCCTCTTTTTATTTGTATTCTTTTCCATTATTTCCTTCTCCAAGTTGTCAGTGTAATTTTTAAACTCACGGATTTGAGATTCTAATCCTTGAAACTTAGTCTCTAACAACATACCGATTTCCAGTGGTAAAATGTCAGCAATATTTGCAATTTCTTTATCATGGAGTTCGTTAGTATCCTTGTCTAATAATCTTTCGCAATGTTCAAGTTTGTATCTCAGTATTTTGTTTTCATTTTCTAGCAATGCGACACTTGGGTCATAACTTGATGTTATTGTCTCGTTATCACCAAAACTATTTATATTATAGTTATTCTCCATTGCTTCAATTTTGATCTTTTGTTCTTGGAGTTGTTGAACTAAACTTTCTATGATTCTATCCTTTTGATCATTTGCGTCATATGCTGATATGGAAGATTTTTTGACAACATGAAGTGAAACATTTTTAGCTCTAGATGCAAACCTTAAAGTGTTTACAGATTCATTTGTTGCATCGACCGATGTATCTATGGTACATATTGTTGTTACAATGCTGTTACCACTTAGAGCAGGTTGTAAAATTCTGGTTAATTTGGAATCACGATAAGGAATATGGCTGTTATTAACGCTCTCGGTAGAATTATTAACTTCTGCACTCAATTTAGAAATCACAGTACCTAAAGCTAGCAGTGATTTGTTGATAAAGGAACCTTCTTGGCGCCTCTCATGCTGAGCAGTGACTCTTTCAGAGCCAGCTAAATCACATAAAGATAATGTACTAGTCACTACTTCACCACTTGATAAATCGCTGCTAATTAATCTGATTAGTATAATTGCATGAGATCTTGAACTCCTGGTATTAAAATCAGTTGAGCTTGTTTTCCGATGCTTGTCACCTAGCTTAATCCAATTTAGTAGTTCTTCATGAGACTGGCATCTCTTTTCGGTTAGACCTATAACTCGTACTCCATAATTTGGGTCATCTCTAATTTTTAATTCTGGTACAGCTATTGAGCTCCTTAATGGTTTAGGATCGAAATCAGTCTCTAGAAGATCATATATTTTTTCATTATAAATTTCAAGATACGATACCAATGTATCGTACTTTTTGTTTTCATGAATTGTACTATCAAAAATCTTTGAATACATATATGCAACTGACAAAGGGATCAACCCAGCATTTCCATCTACACCACTCATTGTATAAGTTTTACCAGACCCAGTCATACCATATGCAAACACTGTGGAATTGAATCCATCAAATAGCTTATCAATCAATGGTTTACAAGTAGCTGCGTAGACATCAAAATTACTTGCATCTGGATGGAATACATTATCATAAGTGTACTCACCAATATCAGTATGTATAATTGTTTTATTTTCTGTTTCAACATACCAATTACACTTTTCATTTATCCCAACTGGTTTTGTTCTTATTGAAACTGAGATTGTACCATTATAGGAATCGTTATTGAGATTACCATGATTGGTTTTCCTAATACGAATTCTCCCAGGTATAGCAAAAATATCAGATGATCTAGATCGTACAGGTGAGCTACTTCTGGTAGTTGAAGTTGAGCTTGATGTAGAGCCTATTCGGTTTTTTCTTAAATTAGAGTATGATGAAGTTGATTTTAACGATGGTGAACTAAACATAACATGAATTATTCTATTAGCCAATTTCTAGATATATAGCAATATACTTCGATCTCTAATGTAGAGGCTAAGTGAAGTTCAATTAAATCGTTTCTGTTATTTGTATCTATTCCTTCTGATATATTAGTTGCATGTTAATAATTACATCTCATCTACGTTTCCAAATCGGGTAAGCGATAAACATATATCAAATAATGGCAAACTAGGATACAATGGAATAAATAATACAATGTGATAAAGATTAGATTAGTTTCAAAAACAGCAAACAGAAGTAATAATGAATTCGATGATGTATATCATGATTAAGTATTGGTACATACCATTATTAGATATATTCTATTCTAGCTATGGAAAAGTACAAAAAGAATTACAAACAAATGAATGGATAATAAAAGGTTGACATAATAATAGTGAGAATTATTGTAATTGTATATTAACAAAACAATCTTGGAAATAGTTGAATTTATAATATGTTTTCTTTTTTAGTAGTTTTTTATCTTAAAAACATCATAACAGTGGACTAGTGCTGGCAATTTTCATTCTTGTCATTGGCGATTGGAATTAAATTGAAGTGTAGTTCGACTCATGATTATATTTTAATTGGTATTTGATTTAAACGGCAGCTGCTAAACCGACTGCGTTGTTACCTACGTCGTAGATAGAGTAGTATCTTCTCAAGAAAGCGTCACCTACAATGGCCAAAGGACCGACAGGAGCTGGGAAATCCATTGGGGTAATAGCAGAGATACAAGAACCGGATACTTCCAATGTGTAGTCATAAGGAGTGATGGTAAAGTTGTATCCGTCAAAAGTGAATGTCATGTCTGGTAGGGTGTCTCTTGTTTTACAATCGACTATCCATTGACCACTCCAGCTCTTCTTGGCACCAATTTGGGAGTTGATAACTTCAGCCAAACCAGAAGGCAAAGTGATTAAAGAGGTACCAGTGTCGATAGCGGCACCGTGGTTAACCAAGTCTGCGACTTCATTACCCAATGCAATGGCATCGAACTTAACTTCCCAGTAAGCCTTACGACGGACAGGTAACCATGTGATATCACCAGTGAATAAAGAACTGTCATAACCACCAAAAGTGACTTGACCACCATCTTCGCTCTTGGTATCGTCCCCCAAGTAGAAGGAGAAGATTGGTTCATCTACCAATTTTTTATTGATGGCGTTGTAGAAAGGAGGGACAACTCTGTTTACAGCAATAGTATCATAGGCCAAACCCAAAATACCATCGAATTTACCAAAGGCGAAAGCCAAACCTGGTTCACTTGTAGCCTCTGCGAAATCTTGACCTGGGATGACCAAATCTCCAATTTGCAAAACATCCTGAGAGATATAACCTTCCATTGAGCCAGAACCGTATTGGATGGAAAAAGTGGTACCATTTTTCTTGTAAGTAGAAGAGTCGCTGTGGTCGTACTTGGCATGCAAATAACAAGCCAAAGAATTACAATCGACACTAGGAACCCATAAGTTGGAAGAACCGGTATCCAAGATAACTTTAAAACTCTGAGCTGGAGTACCTAAAGTGATATCTGTGTAATACTGAGCATTCAAATAATTAGATAAAGGAATATTATGGCCACCGTTCTTGAAAAAAGGGTGTTCTCTAGAGAAAGATACCTCTGGGTTAGCCAACTCAAATTGATGTAAATACTTTTGACCTAAATGAGCCAAACGTTCATCAAAGGAGAACTCTTTAATATCTTCTAAATCCCTCTTGTATATCTTTGCCTTATGCAGCTTACCTTCAACACCTTGCAATCCAGCAAGTAATAATCCACTTGCAGCCAACCAAGAAACATACATTATTCTCAATTATATATTTCCCACGACCAATGTAATAAAAAGATCTGAAACGACTAAAGACTAGAGAGTAAAGACTAAAGACCAAAAACTAAAAGCTATAAAGAATGAAAGAATAACAAGTTATAAAACTAAAACTGAAACTAAAACTAAAACTAAACAAACAAAACCAAAAAAATAAAACAATAACAATAACAATAACAATAACAATAACAATAACCCTTTAACTGTAACTTTATCCTTCTTTTGTCATTTAATCCATGGCCCCCTTTTATACTTTTCTCATAATTATTTCCCATTTTCTTGCCAATAGGAAAAATAATTTAGCTCTCATGGTTTCCCTCCCTTTTCTTTCTTGCCGAGTGACTAAAATCGAAAAAGTGGTGAAGATTGCTGAAAGGTCAAAATTGAATTAAAGTTGAGGAACTTTGAGGATTTTGAGTTGTTTTGTTTTGTTGGTGGAGGTGAAGTTGAAGGTGGAGGAAATGGAATGGATTGATGGGGAGGAGGGGGATTGCAGGAGTGGGACCTGAGTTACAGTTGGGTTGGTCCGGTGGGTTTGCTTTGGTTTAGCTTGTTCTTGGCACAGAGATGTGTTTCGTCATGTAAGGAGGGATGGGATGCTGATGGATGATGATTAAAAAAGAAAGATTTTATTTTCGTTTAGTTTATTCTATGTAGGTTCTCTGTTGTTGTTGTAGTTGTTGTAGTCTTTTGTTTGCAAGTAAAGCAAAGCATTGGGTCGTTTTTGTTTTTCATTTTCAAGAAGAATTTGATTGTCGTTTTTCGAAGAAACGCAATTTCGGTTTTTACCATTTTTTTATTTTTTTTTTAACCCTTTACTTGCTAGTTTTGCTTAGCAGCAAAGTTTCAGTGACATATCTTAATTTGTTGATTGTCTTTTGGTTTTAGTCAAGTTCAGTCGAGTCCAGTCGAGTCAATTGACTGTGAGAGTGTGTGTGGTTGTATCGTCACAAGTTGAAGGATACTTAGCAGACGTTGCTTTGATCTAAATTAGTTTGGTTTCAGGAATTCTGGATTCTGGTTGCTTTTATTTCATTTCCATTTGATTTGATTTGATTTGATTTGATTTGATTTGATTTTGGGAGCAGAGAGAGGGAAAGAAGAAAAAGCAGAAGGAGAAGAAGAAGAAGAACCAAAATATAAATACGTTTTCCACTGCCAAGAGGGTGTGGTGAGGGTTGCAATGAGTAATGGTAATGACAACATTGACGTAGTGACAGTTCCAAAAACTGGGAAAAGTGGAATTTATGAAGATCATTCTCTCTTTGAAATTTGTTATAAAAAGCTATCAAATTCTTGGAATAATTTCAAAAATTCAATGTTCGAAGAAACCAACGGTCATAAAATGTTTAATACCCCATATAACTCGGCGATTTCTGCTAATGTCAATGCTTCTGGTGTTTCCCATGTGGTAGCAGCACCAAATGGTATTAAATCAACAAAGGATAAATACAGAGATACAGAGAGTTTCGAAACTTTTACTAGTGAATCATGCTGTTCGATTGAAACTCCAATTGCAAGAAGAAGACAAACTATCATCACCGCTTGGCAATTGACCTCAATGGTATTGTGTTTAATTTTTTTCTTATTCTCAATTTCAATCCCTTTGTTTTGGTTTATTTCAATCCCTTATATGACTTACTTCTTATTAGATAAAACTCCTGCTAATGGTGGTGTAGTCAAAAGATATTCTCCGTGGTTAAGATCTTTTGGTTGGTGGAAAGAATACTGTGATTACTTCCCAATCCGCCTTCATAAAACAGCAGACTTAAAACCAACCTTCGATGTAAAACATCCAAAAGTAGATTTGTATTACAGACTAAGACTATGGCCAACTAACTATTCTATCAAAATTAAAAAATGGTTGACCTTTTCACAATCTTATGAGAAAATTGGTCCAAAGTATATCTTCGGTTACCATCCCCATGGTGTCGGTGCTTTAGGTGCCTTTGGTGTTTTCGCTACTGAAGGTTGTGGTTGGTCTGAAAAATTCCCAGGTATTCCTACTTCTTTAATGACTTTGGTGACTCAATTTCAAGTCCCTTACTATCGTGATTATCTATTAGGTTTTGGTATTACTTCGGTATCCAAAAAGAATGCTTTGAAAGTATTAAAAAATAATCATTCGATCTGTATTGTTGTAGGTGGTGCAATGGAATCACTATTAAGTGAAGTACAAAAGAGTGATTTGGTACTAAAGAGAAGAAAAGGTTTTATTAAGTTGGCTATTAACACCGGTGACACTTGTTTAGTGCCAACTTTTGCATTCGGTGAAACAAATATCTACAATATCTTACAGACTAAAGAAGGTTCATTCATGAGAAAATTACAATTATGGTTGAAAGAAAATTGGGGTTTCACTATCCCATTCTTTTATGCTCGTAGTGTTTTCAATTACGATTTCGGTATCTTACCGTTTAGAGCACCAATCAACGTCGTTATAGGCTCACCAATTTACGTCAAAGAACAAAATTTAAATCCAACTCCAGAAATTGTAGAACATTACCAAAACTTATACATCGAAGAATTGAAAAAACTATATTACGAAAACAGAGATAAATATGGTTATGGAGATGTAGAACTAAACATTGTTGATTGATCAATAAATCGTGCATTTTCATTTTTTTTTCTTCATTTATCTTTATAGTATTTATTTCTAAATGACAAGGTGGGAAGTTCAAAATAAAAAAATTGGCTTACCATGCTTTTCATCCTGAATATAAATACATAATTTCATTAATTGTATACTTTGTAGTCCTTTATGAAATCTAATCGTTATACATAGTTTGCACATAATATATTAAATATTTAACAGTCTCATCTTAAATTATATAAAACACCGGCTTTAAAAAAAAAGATCAAGATGCTTACAAATTTTAAAATATTTTGATTTAAGGCTGTGAGAATATTAATTTAATAAAGTGTTGATTATAATTGTACCGAAAGGATCATATAATTAATTTTATTTTTGTCCATTAAAGGTTTCTTTCTATTTATATTTGGTTTATTTGGTATGATTCCTGAAAAGAGGCTGCTTACGCCAGAAGATTTAGAACTATGGGATAAATCTCAGACTAAACATGATCTATTAGAGTTTATTGAAAAATTGGCAAAATCTGTCGAAGGTCATGAGAATAAACAGTATCAAGAACCTATAACACCTCAAATAGAGAGTTTCATGGGGCTGCTAAAGTCTGTTAATAACATTATTGATAAACATCCAGTAGTGCAGGACGCTAAGAGTTCAAGGTTTGGTAAAATTGAATTTAGGGATTTCTATGATGAGTTAACTTCTCAATCAAAAACATTAATATCAAATGCATATCCTAGCTTAACTGAAGATCAATTAGATCAATTATATGTTTACCTTGATGAATCATGGGGGAATAAGCAAAGAATTGATTATGGATCAGGTCATGAATTGAATTTTTTATGCTTACTTTATGGATTACATAAATATAAGATATTTGATGAATCAAAAGATTTTACTAATATGGTTTTAAAAATATTTATTGAATATTTAAGGGTAATGAGGATATTGGAAACGAAATATTGGTTAGAACCTGCAGGTTCTCATGGTGTTTGGGGGTTAGATGATTATCATTTCTTGCCATTTTTATTTGGTGCTTTCCAATTAGCAACTCATAAACATTTGAAACCTTTATCCATACATAATGAAGAACTTGTTGAAATGTTTCAAGATAAATATCTATATTTTTCATGTGTTGCGTTTATAAATTCTGTGAAAACTTCGACTTCATTAAGATTTCATTCTCCTATGTTAGATGATATTAGTGGTGTTAAAAAATGGTCAAAAGTTGCAGAAGGTATGATTAAAATGTATAGAGCAGAAGTGCTAAGTAAATTACCTATTATGCAACACTTCTACTTTGGCGAATTTTTACAATGTCCAGAAGGAGTTTTGGGTTCCAAGGGACACAAACATACTGGAGTAGTAGGAGAGGATGAATGTTGTGAGTCCGGGCATGTACATTCATCATGGGGAGATTGTTGTGGTATTAAAATCCCTAGTGCATTTGCAGCAAGTGAATCTGATAAAAAGGTCCATAAACCATTGCCATTTGATTAGGGGAAAATAATGACTTCTCATTTTATAAAATTTTTAAAAGCAAATGAGCAAAGTGATCATTACTCATTTTCCATGCGATTATTTCTAATAGTTACAAACTTATACCTTTAGTTATATAATTATATGATAATGTGTCCATATTTTGATTTTATATATTTTCATTAGTTACCATGCAAATCTCAATTGAGCGGCAGTGAAGACAGGAGGTTTCCAAACCAATCTTTCTGGATCAATTTTTCTTCTATTCTTGGCCTTCATCTGTTCATACTTGTCAAGAATTTCTTCACTTAAAAAGATAATATGTTGTCCTTTGTAATATCTTAGTATATTTAATGTTTTGGAAGTATGCAGTATATCTGTCGTTGTCATTGCAGTGATTGAGCTAATTTCATCGATGGTAATTTCATTCCCATGCTCGGCTAACAATGCAATCAATGTGTCAGACCAGAATGCTCTGTATGATAACAGACCCAGATCTGAAAGTGGTTTTTCCGGAGAACCTACTTTACCTTCTCTCTTTGATAATTCGTATGAAAATTCGATTAATAGCTTACCATAACCCATCCTCTGATATTGAGGTAAGGTTAAAATACATGCAACATTATAGCCATCTGCGGATTCTTTTTCCTTGGAGAAGTAACCTACCAGATGATGACCTAGTTCATCTCTTCTTGTCATACAATAAAACAAGAATGGGTCAACATCATAGTATAATGTTTTATGATCTAAAAATAATTTTGACAGTAGACATAAGTTCCTACACCATGTTCTTTGTTTTCTCCCATCAATTTCAAAAAATGAAACGTAATCATCACGGTAAATTTCATTACCAGGAGGGTGTCGTAGGGTACATTTCTTTCTATAACGTTCGTACTGCTTCTTAGAACCAAAATATTGTAAAGTAAAATCGTCTATATAAATAACATCTTCGTCGGTAAGTTCAATTGGATATGGAGCAAAATACCATGGTTCGATTTCAAACTTTCCCATGATAATTTTATTAATATTTCTGACACGAGCAACCTCATGTGGATTTTGAGTCATAGAACCTGAAGTTCTCAATTTTTTAATTTCATCCTCCCTTGATAATTCCTCATTTTTAATACCTTGAACATTTAAATTTTCTAAATCCATCATACCAGCTTCTGGAGTCTCTGATTGTGATTTAATATTACCTTCTGAATTAGGGGTCTCAGACGCTGCTTTCTTCTTTTGCTTCTTCTTATTTTTATTACCATCATCCTCCAAACCTTTAGGTCGTGGGAAAATGACATCTTTGTCTAAATTTATTCTATCTGTAGTGATCCATTCATCTAAACGTTTATTAAAATCTAAATAATGGACATAAAATTTCGGAGGAGACCTTCTAGAGTTAATCGACAAAATCTCTGCTAACCTCTCTTCATCATCCTTCTTAACCCAACACTCACATTTAATGAGTATCTCTTCGACACTGCTAACCTTCCTTGGAATACCAGGTTTTATTTCTTCTTCAATTGGTGACATCTATCTCTTTATTAATCTATAAAATTTATTTCCACCACCATCAAACTTTCTGTCCAAAAACCCACAAAACAAAAAATGGTAAATAAAACGTACTGGAAACTTATAACCAATACAAAATAAACAAACTTGGAACCTTCCAACCTCAAACACCTTTCTCTCGTTCTCTTTCAACCTTTAACTTCTTTCTTTAATATGATCTATATTATCAATACTTCTATAGCATCTTATTGTATTTAAATTAAAGTCTAAGATATCGAAACTTGTGAAAAAAAACTGCACCTCGTTAATAATGATTGTAATTTTTCAATAATCAAGATTAGTTATATCTCATCGAATAACTACATACTTAGCTAAGAGAAGCTAAACAAGATAGATCAACTTTATTACATTAAAGCATTTTAATTACCATTCATTTCAGTTCATAATTGGCGAATTTATATGTATACCTTGTCTTCAAATCATTGTTTATAGTCTTTTATCTACAAATCGCAATATCATATTAAATATATTTATTTCGTTCCAATTGTTTACCTTTTCTTTTAGAGCATTTCGAAAATTTTGCATTAGCTCATCGCATCGATTTTAAGATACAAGCAAGTATATAAAAGATTCAATTTGGGTAAGAAGAAGTTATTTTGTGCTCGAGAATCGGATTCTTATTGTCATTGTTGCTAGATAAGTGATTGTATTTGAAAAGTTGTGGAGTATCTCTTCTTTTTGGTTTTTTTTCAGTGGATAATAGGATTTGAACTATGTCAGAATTAACTGTCGGTGATAAGAGACCTCAAGAGGAAGACAACAATGTCTCAGATTCTGCTGTTGTTACTAAAAGAGCTAAGCCAGATGGTGGTGTAAATGGTGAAAAGATTGAAAGTGAGGCAGGATTACGTGAACCTGATGTTGGGATCACATTGTATTTGTCTCCAGAAATTCCTGGGTTCACAGGTCAAATTAAACAGAGATACACTGATTTCCTTGTTAACGAGATTACAAAAGATGATGAAGTTGTTCATTTGACAGATAAGGGTTTCAATATGCCAAAGAAACCTCAAAAGACTGCGGAGGAGAAACAAAAAGAGCATGAGGAAGAGATTGCCAAGAGAAATGAATTTGTTGTAGAACCAGAATTGAGAAAACAATTGGTAGATATCTTGGGTGAAGATGATGTTGTTAAGATTGAAGAAGTCTTTAAGACCGCACAAAAGATGGAAACTGTGAAATCGTTTGATGATAAATCAGAGAGAACTAACATCCATATCCTTTTACGTAAGGCTTTCAACAATGAGTTGGAATCTGTCACTACTGATGAAAATACTTTTAAAATTGCAAGAAATAATAAAAAATCAAGAGTTAATAAGCAATTGTTAGCAGAGCAGACAAAAGATGCAAACGGTATCGAAAATTGGGGTTATGGTCCTGCAAAGGAATTTATTCATTTCACATTACACAAGGAAAACAAAGACACTATGCAAGCTGTTAATATTATTTGTAAACTATTGAGAATGCCAACACGAATCATTAGATATGCTGGTACTAAAGATCGTAGAGGTGTTACTGCCCAAAGATTATCTATTACCAATATCAGTATCGATAGATTGAACGCTTTGAACAGGACTTTAAAAGGTATGATTATCGGTGGTTACAAATTTGACGATAAAAGTTTGAATTTAGGTGACTTGAACGGAAATGAATTTACTATTACTGTTAGAGACGTTGATTTAAAAGATTCTAACGGAATCCCATTAAGCAAAATCTTAGAAAGTAGTTGTGAATCACTGAAAACAAATGGTTTCATTAATTATTTTGGTATGCAAAGATTTGGTACTTTCAGTATCTCAACACATGAAATTGGTAAGGAATTATTATTGGAGAATTGGAAGAAAGCTGCTAACTTGATTTTATCTGATCAAACTAATGTTTTACCAAAATCTAAAGAGGCTAGAAAGTACTGGGAAGAGACGAAAGATGCAGAAGGTACTTTAAAATTAATGCCAAGAGATTGTATGGCTGAAAATGCAATTTTATATGCCCTATCATCTCAGAAGAAAGAAGAGGATAATGATTATTCAGATAATGCTTATTATCTAGCTATTATGAAGATTCCAAGAAATTTAAGAACAATGTACGTTCATGCTTACCAGAGTTTTATCTGGAATTCGGTAGCAAGTAAAAGAATTGAACTGTTTGGTTTGAAACCAGTTGAAGGTGATTTGGTTATTGATGGAAGTAGCCGTGCTGAATCCAAATTGGAGGACGAAGAAGTTGATTTTGATGAAGATTTATGTGAAGCTCAATATATCCGTGCTAGACCAATTACAAAAGAAGAAATTAGTGCTAATAAGTTCAAAATGACTGATGTGGTTCTTCCAACCCCAGGCTTTGACGTTGTTTATCCACAAAATGAAGAATTATCAAGAATATATGTTGATTTGATGGCCAAAGATGGTATGAATCCTAATGAAATGAAAAGAAGAGTAAGAGATTTCTCCTTGGCTGGTTCCTATAGAAATGTAGTTCAAGTACCAGAGGGTTTGGAATATAAAATTGTTAAATACAGTGATGCAACTCAGCAATTAGTCAATACTGACTTAGAAATGTTAAATAGTAAAAGAGCCAAAGACAATGGACAAAAATATATGAAAGATAAGTTGGAAAGATATGTTCCAGAAAAATCCGGTGATAAAACTGCGGTTATTATTAAGTTTAAACTTGGTGTCTCAGCTTATGCCACAATGGCTCTACGTGAATTAATGAAACTTGAGACATCTCGTCGTGGTGACATGTGTAATGTCACGGTAGAATAATTTTATAAACAATGTTAAAATTTTGTATTATCATTTACTAATTTTCAAGAAAATTAAAATTCCACTTATAGGTAAATTTTTGAAGATTCCATAGTTCGAAGGAACCTTTAGATATTTTAGTTTCTATAGTTATTGCGTCATTAATATATATTGTCATCTAGCATACACAAAAATATGTGACGTCAATTATTTATAAATAACATCTAATCTAATCTTAAGAAAAATATCTCTATATTTATTGATATAATCTCATTTAATAATATTATGTATATTGGAACCCAGAAACCCCAATTTTTCCTGGTACTATAGTCCTCCAAAGGCAATTAATTCCAAATAACTAAATCGCTACATATATTGCTGTTTAATACAATAATAATAAAATAAATATATATATAAGAAATGTCTTCACAAGATTCTCAGTTTCAAAGAACTAATGATACTCCAGAAAATAAGGTATTTCAAGATGTGTATGTCGCCAATGTCTCCAAAAGTCGAATTCCTTCGTTATCCTCACTATTTTTAAACAATACCATTGAAGAAAAGAACCATGAGTTTATTGGATTCAGAAGGTTTGCTAGAACTTATATTCTAGGCACTGAAAGAAGCGTAAAATCAAAGGTTACCAAGCCTAAAAGTCAACTTAACATTACCAATATGACTTATCAAAGTAATGGCGACTACCTAAGTCATGGTGAATACTTGAATGAACTACCTAAGGAGAAAATCTATCTAGAGAATAAATTAGAGCTTGCCAGAGAACATCAAGCTAGTACTAATATGAGTAAAGTAAATGTTCCTGGTGAAATATATGATTATGAGGTTGATCAATTTGGTGTCCCGCAGAAGATACCTGATTTGACCTATGAGGATGATGACATGGATTACATATCACCTTCAGAGGGTAAGATTTCAACAACCAATAGTTCCGAAGACATAGAGATGACAAATACTGGATGTGATCTCAAAAAAGTGGTTCTTCGAAATATACCAGTTGGAACTGGAGTCAGAAGTATTTTGTCACAAATATGTGGTGGTCCTTTAGAAAGCTTAATAGTCCAAACCAAACCTGATTCTCATAATGAATTAAGCAAAGTAGAATTGAGTTTTCTAACATATGAAGGAGCATGGGCATTTATGAAGTATGGTAGGACTACTCTATTTCAAATTAATGGCATTCAATTAAATCCTGAATGGGGGAAATTATCATCTAGTAAAAGTTTAAATTATGCAAATTTGAGTAAAAGTGGTACAGGAGACTGTAAAGATATATCAAGATGTTTAATTTTGAAAAAATATATCAATAGAAACGATACAAGACATGGTACCTCCAAGGAGCATTTAATTGAACGATTTGATATTGAAGAATTAAAATCAGATTTTGAAAGATTTGGTGACATTTTCGATATCACGCCAATAGTCTCAAGAAAATTATGTGTTTCCATATCATATAATCATATATTAGGTGCAATGACAGCCATGGATGATTATGAGGATTCCCATTCCTTATTACACCAAAAGTATTTTAGGACTTGGGCAATATGGTATGGTAAAGATATCACTGACAAACCTTGTATAGAACTCTAACAATTAAGTAACATTATATACATCAAAATCTTGGCATTCTTACATACAAAAAT